CCATAATCAATGCTACACAAATCTCCAACCTTTTACAGGCCTTATCATTGCCCAGGGAAGTTGCAGTCATACACTGCTGACAACACTGGGCCCAGCATAATGCTGTCTCCCGGGGTAATGCGCGGGCAGATACAGCAGCAAGATCTTGAACACCAAGTTAACCGCTACCCCTGTTCTCTTCCTTACATGGGCACACAGCCTGTATACTCACCATCAGAGAAACAGGCCCTTATACTAAAACGGGGAACAGAATCTAATCAGGGCTGGATCTTCCTAAATAACAGAATCACCCTTCCCCGGGAACAGGCCCCTACAATTATTGCTAAAATCCACCAATCCTTACATATAGGGCCTAAGGCGTTACACCGCTTTGTACAGCCCCTCTTTTTCCTGCCAGGTCTGCAGCAAACAACTGAGCAGGTACACAAGGCATGCGTTACTTGCTCTAAGGTCTCGCCTCAGGGAGGCTTAAGGCCACAGTTTCCTACTCACCAAATGCGTGGCAACCTACCGGCCCAAGACTGGCAAATTAACTTCACTCACATGCCCACTCGCAAAAAGCTCCGCTACCTCCTAACTTTTGTAGCTACCTTTTCAGGTTGGATTGAAGCCTTCCCCATCTCCCAGGAGATGGCAGACACGGTGGCCTCCCTCTTGACTCAAGAAATCATCCCTTGCTTCGGCCTACCTGCCACCATCCAGTCGGACAACGGTCCAGTATTTCCAGCCCAAGTAGTCCAACTAGTCGCCAAGTCCCTCAACATCTCCTGGAAACTGCACATCCCTTACCATCCTCAGTCATCGGGTAAAGTTGAACAGGCCCACGGCATCCTCAAGACCATTTGGCCAAACTTGCTATAGAGGTAAAGGTCTCTTGGCCCACACTCCTACCTCTTGCCCTGGCCCGGGTCCGGGCCACCCCACGGGGGCCAACAGGCCTTAGCCCCTTCAAATTGCTGTAGGGCCGGCCTTTCCTGTTCTCACAATCTCCCTGTAAAACCGCCCCCACTGGCTTCCTACCTTCCCTTCCTCTCTCTTCTCTGCCACCTGCTTAGGGAGCATGCGGACCGCACCCTCCCTGTTGTTCCAGGACCGGAAGACCCCCACCCAACGACGCCTCTCCGACCAGGCGACAGCGTTCTCCTCCGAGAGCTCAAACCTGGATCTTTGCAGCCCAGGAATCCTGGACTGAGGGCCCCACCACCAGGACCCATTATCTTGCACAGGCAAACTGCCGAACAGGCGGCTGTCAGTCTGCTGTCTCCATCCTCATCCCACACGGTAAAGGGCCGCACTCGGTCGCGATCATGGGTTTCACTTTCAGCACGGGCTGTGTTTTCTATATGACCAAACCAAGGACTACTGTCATTGGTGGACCACCACCTACGGGGGGTGCCCATACAGCTCCTGTGTTATTCACAAGCCACAGCCTCCAAGCTGTCTCAATCGCATGCTGACTCACTTCAGCAGTGGTTCCTTAGCCCTCAACATCCGCGACCCCCGGCACAGCCGCTGGGATGCAGGAGTGTCCGGTAAAGTCTATGAAGATTATACCTGGAGCCACCTTAACGGGTATCCCCTTGTTCAAAGTACACTCTCAAAATATCTCTCTTTCTGCTGTGGGGCGGCCAGCGGCTCCAGCCCCAGCTGCAACACCATCGTAAAAGTAAAATCCTCCCTTTCCATGCCTCCAGGAGGATACTTTTGGGGTAATGGGACCCTAACCAAAGTTATTAATGCCTCCTTTCCCTTCCCTTGTGTGCCTGTCACTTTGGTCCCGCAGCTAAAAGTGTACAGACAAGCCGAGCTCCTATCCCTCATCGCACGCTCCCCTAATCACCGAAGCAAATGCGCTGTCTTCCTCCCAATGGTAGTTGGCCTCTCCTTAGCATCCTCTCTAGCAGCGGCTGGAATAGGAAGCGGAGCAATGAGCTACAATGTCACTTCAGCCGCTCAACTGGAAGACAAGCTCTGAGTGGCCACTGAAGCATCAGCCGCCTCCCTGGCCTCCCTCCAGCGAGCAATCACATCACTGGCCCAGGTAACTCTCCAAAACCGACGGCCCCTTGACCTACTAACGGCGGAAAACTGAGGCACCTGTCTGTTTCTTCAGGAACAGTGCCGCTGCTATATTAATGAAACAGGCCTTGTAGAAGAGAACGTCAACACTCTCTATCGCCTCCAAGAAGACCTCCGAAAGAAACAGAATGCACCATCTTCGTCTCTCAACTGGTGGCAATCCCCCATACTTACCTGGCTAACCCCTAGCATCACTCCCATGACCGTCATTTGTCTTCTGCTCATGCTAGCCCCTTTTTTCCTCAAGTTTTTACAGGCCTGCATGAAAGAAAGCATTTGGCCGTAAACCAAATGCTGCTTCACCCCTATGTCCGACTCCCAACAGAGGCACCAGCCAACTGACCCCTCCCCCTCACTCCGCCCCTATTCAGCAGGAAGTAGCCAGAAAGACGTGGCCTCCTGTATCATCAAAAGGGTTGGAATGTAAGGCCGGCTGCCTCCACGGGAGCTCGGACACGCCCATCCCTCTCCACGCCTGAAAATACCTCACCACTCCGCACTCCACGTCAAGCTCTGCACTCGGCACCTAGGCCCCCCCAACCCCCGCTGGTTGGAAAACCCTGCCAAAATTTAAAGAAAGCCCCGCTAAAATCTGCCCAACAGCATTTTGCCCCATCCAGGTCCCACTCCCCCTGGGCGGCTGGCTCACCGGACATCTCACCTACCTACCAATGGCAGCTTGCCCCATCGACGTCCTGTTCCCTCATAGCCAATCAGGACACCCCCACTTGCTATAAAACCCCACGCCTCAGGAAGTCAGGTACGACTTCCCTGGCCCCTTTCCCCGGGACCATGGAACCTCGTCTGGGAGCTAAATAAATGGGCATTTAATTTTCTTATGCTGGCCTCAGTTTCCTCATTTTAAACTCTGCAATAACCCTTACAGTTGCCATTGTTGTTATTTTGAAGCTCCCTTCAATAGGTAGTGTTGAATTATAATAATTTTCAATATACTTACAGTAACAAATCTTTTCTTGTTAAACTAAATTTAGCTTGAGGCTTTCTCTGTACTTAGAGTTCCCAGGTAGGAAACTGCAACCTAACATAGTATGGAAATAAAATTCCAACCTAAATTATGAGTATATTTTTGCAAAAACTAGCTGTCTCAGCCGATCAAAGCAGCTCGGCTTCAGCAATCACAGGTTGCCAAGTGATCAGACCATGACCATATAAGGCAAAAGCTTCATCACACTGTACCCAAATAAGGTAACTGCTAAGCTGTAACCAATCAAGCTATTTCTATATGTCATCTTGTTTTTCTCTGGACAAATGCTGTCTGCTCACTTTGCTGGGTAGAGCTCTCTGAACCTCTCCTGGTTCTAAGTGATGCTGGATTCATAAATCATTTTTTTTTTGCTCAAATAAACTGATTAATTTGTCTAAAGTTTATCTTTTAACATTACTTAATCAAGAAAAAAACATTTGTTTTATAAGAGCTGAATTATTAAACATTGATGAATCAGTAACAATGCTAATGTTTACTTTTCTAGCCATTAAACTTTTTAAAAGTTTATCAGCATACATTGATTCCTACTCCCTAGTTGAAGCATGTTCTGAAATTATTAAAAGAAGTAGCTCTTTGTATACCTTAAATAGGTCATTTTATATGTATTTTTTCTTTTTTCCTTTTTTCCTTTTTTTTTTGAGACAGAGTCTTACTCTGTTGCCCAGGCTGCAGTTCATTAGCATGATCTTGTCTCACTGTAACCTCCACCTCACAGGTTCAAGTGATTCTCCTGCCTTAGCCTCCCTAGTAGCTGGGACTACAGGCATGCCACCACTATGCCCAGCTAATTTTTTGTTTTTAGTAGAGAAGGGGTTTCATCATGTTGGCCAGGCTGGTCTCAAACTTCTGACCTCAAGTGATCTGCCTGCCCCTGCTTCCCCAAGTGCTGGGATTACAGGCATGAGCCACCCTGCCTGATTGGTCATGATATTTTTAAAAGCAATTTAACATAGTAAACAGCTACCATTGCCGCAGAGAAATGAAGGTGAATCCTGCTACTTGGTCATTGGAAGTGGGGGATAAGAACAATAAATAAGTATAAGTCAATACTGAACAGCAAGGTAGAATTTGGAAGCTACAGTAAAATCTATGTACAAAAAAAAAATTTTAAAGTTTTTCTTCCTCCAGAAGCAAAGTTATTAGAATTTTTAAAAGAAATTCATTAATGATTTTAAGATGGGAAAATTTCAATTAATCTAATCTGTACCCTAATGGTGGGCAAGATTTTATTCTATTTTAAAGCTATCTAGAAAATAAATATTATTCCTTTCATTTAACTATTAGAAGTCTTACTATATTATGAAACATATATTCTTTTACTTTGCATCCCCAAGATGTAAGGTTATATAGAACCTACTATAAAATAAGTGACAAATAAATATTCACTGAATCAACACCAAGATTCCTCATGGGTGATCAAAACACAGCTCTCAAAATGGCTGCCCAGACTCTGCATAACTTTGATAGTTAGACAAACATTGTGTAGGTCTGTTCAGAAGAAATGGAACAATTAAGACATGATATGGCCTCTGTTTCTGCCTTTGATTCATCTTCGTTTTCCATTGTCATGTTACCATACCTTTCTTATTCTCTACATAACACATCACTTTAAATGTATTACCTATTCCCTTTTCTAATGTGGCATGAAAACCCCACCACTTCGTCTTTGTGTTTACATCAAGCAATTTAGAGGTCATGTCTTATAATGATCTGGGGAAAATATTCATCATGAAAACATTCTCTCTCTTAATTAGGGACTCTCAATGACTAGTCCAAAGTAACTTTCCAGGAAAGGCAGAGACAAATATATTTCCCTGGGTACTGTTAGTTTATGAATTCTTATTTTTAGGACAATGAGTACATATATTTTAAATCTACCAGTAGTACTTTTACTTTATGACAGTAATAACTATACCTTATAAAAGGTCGTGTCACAGCAAGGATGGTTCTGATGAACCAAGATGGATGAACAATGATGAATGATTTCAAATTCTTCCGCAACCTATTTTGAAAAAAGAAAAAATACATGATTCTTAGCCCATTTTCAGTGAGAATTAAACATAAAACATATTCCTAAATACAAATATATATAATTTAGGCCGGGCGTGGTGGCTTATGCCTATAATCCCAGCACTTTGGGAAGCCGAGGCAGGTGAATCACCTGAGGTCAGGAGTTTGAGACCAGCCTGGCCAACATGCTGAAATCCGATCTCTACTAAAAATAATTTTTAAAAAAATTAGCTGGCGCCTATAGTCCTGGCTACTCAAGGGGCTGAGCCAGGAGAATCGCTTGAACCTAGGAGGTGGAGGTTGCAGTGAGCTGAGATCACACCACTGCACTCTAGCCTGGGCGACAATGAGACTCCAACTAAAAAAAATTTATATATATATATATATATATATATATATATATATATATATATATATATGTATGTATTTTTTAGGGAGTTTTATGCAAGTTACTATTACCTGGTGGGAATATACAGAATGGCCATGATTAATGACAAAAATGATTTTTTGAGACATAATTTGAACTCGTATGATTTGAACCTCATTTTCTCATAGAAATAAATGTAAAATAGAATGGTTGTATTCTTAGAGTGCATACATCTAGTGGTTAACGAACTGACAGTGAATGTCGAAATAAGAGCACAGTGGTTCTCCAAATCACAATAGTCCCAGTTCACATAAATGGCAGCAAGGTCACATGATACCCCTAAAGAATCAGGGGTATTTTGGTTTATCAGCTCAAGTCGCACCTTCCTGTGGCAACAGCACACGCATAGTTTAAAACAGACTTGGTCTGCCAGGTTTGAATTACATTTAATAAAATCTAGGGGGGAATTGCTTTATTTTTCAACTTTTGGGCATCAAATAACACTTTTATTAATATTTCTATAATTTATTGTTTTAAATACACATAACTCAATGTTCCTAAAATGTGATCACGTTTTTAGTAGACTAAAAGAGAATACAATATGGTCACTATTGAGGAAGTCAAAATAGTGATTAAATAATAGAGCCCACATACCGTCTGTCAATCATCTGGTAGCATTTCTTCATCCAGCCTAGCCCTGGCATCTTCCGTCTTGGGGTTGCACCATTCAAGTACACGATCATATAGTCTTCAGCAACCATCAACTCTAAAGTACTTATTACATATCTGATCACAGGAAGGAAGAGGAATGTTTTCAGTTCCCACATAAAATATTTCATCTAAATGACACCATAATTACATAACATTAAAAGTACAGGGTGTATGAAATTTAAGAATGGTTGTGCCTATTACCTCTTTACCTTGGAAAGAATACAGTTGCTTAAGAGCATTCCTCTGAGAGTATTACTCATTTATTGGTATGGTTACCTATTTTTTAAATGTAGGTACACTAGAAAAATGTATGGGTTAGAAAGAATCCTGACTTTCAAAAATGTCAACGTTATCAAATATTAAGGGTAACTCAGGTTACATAAGGGCAGATATAAATGAAGTCAGGTTATAGTCAGTCTTAGCTGACGAAGAACATGTATCAAGGAACAAAAATAATACTTTGCCCAAAGGAAATGTTACAGAATTTTCAAATGCAAGCAAAGTTCTGTTCATTTTGTTTTTAGTCTATTCTAGAGCCCCTTTAAATGTTTTAGCCCCTTGAGCAACATTCTTTGACAGAGACCTTACTGACTTTTGATTGAAGACTTAGAATGTTGTACATCATCTGTCTTCTTTAATTAAAGATGCTCTATCTGCCATTACATGCCACAGACATTAACTCAAAGCACTTTGTTGTAAGTATCACTCACAGGAAAAGATTTTCCATGACATAGTGGTAATCCGCCCGACTGCTGTCTGGCAGAAAACAGGCGGCAAACACAATGATGGCATTTAGACCGTCCCCATAGTATCCTGGGGGACAAACAAAAAGACATTTGTAACCAATTGAAAGCTCTTAACAAGGTAATATCTGACCTAATGGATAAATCTGAAGCCTTGGCAAGTGTGTCTTTGTGTATGTATTAGCTACAGGAAATGGGGATTGACTATATGTCTGTAGTATATACACATATAGTTATCTTTCAGTGGTTAACATCTATGTTTTATAGAGTGTTAAATATAGAGTGCAATTATATTTGCATACGTAAGCTATTCTATATCACGGACGATTATATGTGTTGTACATAGTTGTGAATAGGGTGTGTCAATATTCAATATAACAAAAAAATGAGAGGGCAAGACTGATTTATGAATGTCTGATTTCTATACTACTAATATATATGTACTTACACAGACTTCTTTCTTCTGATGGCTAAGAAAGATATTCTGTTTGATCCTCTTTAGTTCTTTGTAGTTTTAGACACTGCTTAATTTTAAGGGAGAATTTAGCCACTGAACTGCAATGTCATCTCTGACTCACACACTCCAGTGATCAAATACTAGTGAGTAGACAAGTAAAACATCTTTATTTTGATTTTGAGGCCCGTAGTGCCCCTGGGATCAACAGACAGGGTAAGAACCCATGAAAAGTTCTAGCCTGGCCTTGTTCTGTCCAATATGTTACTGCCATGTAATCGCCAGTGGGTATTTAGAGTTCTGAAAAAAACTAACACATTGGGTTCTGGGAGGACTAGATCAGGCTTAAGCATATGTCGCATCCTCCTACTCAAAGCCTGGAGGAAATCTCTATTTAATGATTCTACAGTCCAGAACGACATGACACAACAAACCCATAAATGGGTATATTTTTAGGCATATCTTTCCCCAACTTTTTTGCAAAAGAGTCACTGTCTCTTTGTAGAGAACATCTTATTGAACTGCTTTTCAAGAGTTAATTAACCCCATCCAAATCTATATACACCCCAGCCGGGTGTGGTGGCTCAGGCCTGTAATCCCAGCACTTTGGGAGGCTGAGGTGGGTGGATCACTTGAGGCCAGGAGTTCAAGACCAGCCTGGACAACATGGCGAAACCCCATCTCCACTAAAAATAAAAAAAATTAGCTGGGCGTGGTGGCACCTGCCTGTAATCCCAGCTATTTGGGAGGCTGAGGCAGGAAAATGGCTTAAGCCTGGGAGGTGGAGGTTGCAAGTAAGCCAAGATCACGCCACTGCCCTCCAGCCTGGGTAACAGAGCAAGATTCTGGCTCAAACAAACAAAACAACACAACAACAACAAATCTATATACAGCCCACATTTTACTGCCATATAATCATCCAGTGAGTATTTAGAGTTCTGAAAAAACACAATGGGTTCTGTTACGGGGCTAGATTCTGAATTCTGTGAAAAGGAAGAAAACTTCCTCTTGTAAGAGGAGGAAAACTAAAAATGAGTCTGGCTAAATCATATTTCAGTAGTATGAAATTCTGTACTTGCTGGAAAACTTGACAATTGCTTCCTAGTGACGTGGGATGGAGGAGAAGAGGTGCTAAGAAAACAGCAGGCGGGAAAAGCAGGCAGTGTGGCCACTGAAACTCAGGGGTCAAAGAACACTTCAGGACACCATTCCCCATCTTTTGAAAGCTCCAGCATCGTTTTGGAATTGCCCTGTCTTTGAAGCAAGCTTACCATTTCCCATAGTTTCTTTGACACTCACATCAGGTGTCAGGCAGACCCCCAGAGGTAGCTATACGGAATGTCATGTGTCTTTCCCACTTAAAAAGGGAAGCAATTCTGAATTTTTATTTTTTAGTATCCCTGTCTAAACAATTGCAATTTATGTCAGATAGTTCTGGACTGTGGAATCATTAAATAGAGATTTCCTCCAAGCTTTGTGTAGGAAGACAGGAGGCACACTTAAGCCTGGTTCAGTCCTCCCAGAAACCAATGTGTTAGTTTTTTCAGAACTCTAAATACCTACTAGTGATTACACGGCAGTAAAGTACTGGCTGTGTATAGATCTGGATGGAGTTAATTAACTCTTGAAAAGCAGTTTAATGAGATGTTTTCTATAAGAGAATGTGACTTTACTGCAAGAAAAGATGGGGGAGGAGAGTAATACTGACTAAAAATATACCCAATTATGGGCGGGTGTGTATTACTAACTTGAGGTAGTTGTACACAATATTTATTCTACATGTGGTGATACAACATTGTTGAATACCGTATTTATACTACATATCTTAGAAGATGCTACCTACGTATGTCTTCAACTTACGTAACACATGTTTGTGAGAGAGCAATGTAGGAGCTTCTCTCTGAATGTTTTTGCTTTAGTTCTGTCTTTTCCAATATACAGGTATTTATCAACTACTTTTTAGAATGCAAGTTGAAGGAAAATGGCAGGAGGAGATATATTTTACTACAAGAATTGCTTGTTAAAACAAACAATTTCATTTCTGAGGAATGCAAAACTAAATGGAAATCCACAAAGGATATGGTGGCTGAGCTATCCTAATCCTCATATCACAAAGATAAACAGTTCATCCTCAGCACGATGAAAAACAAAAGTTCATTAAAAGAGACAATAGACATAATGAATCCAACTTCAAAGCAAGTAAGAAAGCATCCTTTCAAAAGTGTCTTTCTAAATGTAGCAGTCTGGCTCCAGAATATTACTGTAATTTCACTATCATGACTGCTCAGTTACTTTGATTTCTTCATTGCCAGAGAACTTCTAAGAAATTTTTTTGAAAGGGAAAGACTGAGGTTTGTTAACAGTACTTCAGACGTCATTTTAAATGGCAGTTCAGCTCACTGTGTAAATGCGGTCCGCCCTTTGAATGTTGTAGCATCATGTTCATCTGAATTCATTCAACTAAAGGAATACTGTGGGATCAGCTCACGACTTCATGATCACTGTCTAAGTAAGAAATGTCTCAATATGAGAAGTACGGAAATTTAGAAATGAAAATGGCTGTCTGTACTTTTTAGTAGAGGAGCTTTAAGAAGGGAAGAAGAGCCAAAGACAAGGGAGAAAACAGGAGGAGAGGCGATAATGGAAGGAGCGAAATAAAAAGATTTCCACAGAAAAATGTTCCTCCTAAATCAAGAGCCAGTGCCATTGGGAGGCTTGGGAGATATTTCAGATAATACCTTAATTTTTCTATAGCTGCTTCCTGCTTAAAAAAATTAAAGTTAAAAAATCAGATAATGCTATAATTGCAGGCAAAGTGCATTAACTAGAATTCGTGGGATTGTTTACTTTTTGCCCCTCCCAAATACCTTGGAGGGGGTCAGCTAACCTCTCAAGTATGCAGCTTCCCCAAGTAAAGTTTCCTGTTGGCAACAGCATCATTCATTGGAAGTCTGGTTTTAAAACATTTATTTCATTAGACTCTCTTCCCAATAAAGGTGAGGTGAATTCAGGGTGTATATGCTGGGTAGGGTGCCTGAGCAACCCCACCGGGCATCTCCTGAGACCCTCTGAAGCCAGGACACAAACCTTACCTGAGTGACACAGACAGGCATGAAAGGGATGTAACACAAGTTTGCTGGCCAGCAAATGGAATGGAGACACAGGAAAGATGTCACAGTCGCAATCAAAACACACACACACACACACACACACACACACTCATCAGTCAGTGACTCTTCTCCTCATTATTTCCAGGGTCATTTGTCCAGCAAGACTGCAGAGAAGGTTACCTGAATCTCCTATAATGAAATAAAAAAAAAAAAAAGGAAAGAAAGAAAGGAAACTCCTTGTTAACATTATTTGGGTTGATTGTTCTCCATTATTTAAATGGGTTTCTCTGCTCCAAGTTCAAAAAAAAGCCTCAGAGGGACCCCATATTGTTGGCTGAGCAAAACCATCCAAATCCCTCTTGACTTTTATTTACGCAGATGGCAGAGAGATTGTTCATGGGCTCAGTGAAGTCACTGAGGCCCAGAGAAGATAAGTAATGTATCAAGGTCACAGACTAGTAAGTGGCAGAGGTAGGTTTCGAGCCTCATTCTTCTACATTGGTATGCCGGGCCTCTGGCAATAGCTCACATCAAGGTCACCAAAGCTGAAGACTGAATTAAATATTCAAATACTGCCATCATGCCACCAGTATTCTCAACAGGTGGGACACTTGGCAGGGTCTGGCTTTGGGGCTAACTTCTGCAGCTCTTTTGATCACCCCTGCCTTACTGTTTTCGGCATAGAACGCTGTGCAGCTGGCCCTTCTCTATTGGCCTGAAGGAGAAAACTTCCTTACAGCAAAATGCCAAGCAGCAAACAAGATTCATGTTCACTGTGAAGTGACTGCTGCTTTTTAAATGCTCGTCAGAAGCCAGAAGGACAAACTCAGTAGGTTGGTAAGTAAGGAGCTTTCTCATCATTGTGGTCTAACAGAGTGGTGTAAACTCCCAAAGTATCTTTACCTACAGAGCACGAAAGCCAGTCAGGGTGTAGGAAAAGGTGGCATCTGACTAAAGTTCCAGATGGGTGCAGCCAGAGGCATGTTTCATGCAGGCCAGTGCCTAGAGAGGGCCGAGGCAGGGCTGGGGAGAGGGGAGGTGGCCTTCTCTTCAAAACAAATCAGACAGTCACACAGAGAAAAACAGAGCTTGCAACACAGAATGGAGAGGAGCAAATGCCAAAGGGAGGAGGTGGCAGGGACAGAGAGCACAGCAAACCAGGTTAGCCCTGAGGCCTCAGGTGAATTGTTACAAAGACTGTGACAGGCAGAAGCAGTGGCATTTTCTGACCATCAGTGCTCTGATGATATTCACTTTCTCCTGATTTGGACAACAGACTGATGGGCTTGACCACGCCACCCAAGCCCACCTAAAGAACAAGCAGACAAGTCTACTGGATATTAGCAGATAACTAGCCCTAGGAGAGCAGCAGGACCATGAGCTGCCTTTCAACACAGGGACTCTCCATGTGAGAGCTGATGGTAAAAATATTTATAGGGCTTATCACTGGGTGACTTTGATTTGACAGACATTTTAATTTTTTAATAGTTTAAAAAATGAACAGAGTAGTCTTACAGGCAGCCTTTGTTTTAATTTTCAAAAACAAAACACAACAAAAATACCTGAACTGAGTGTTCCTCTTACGGTTTTCACATAAAACACAAAAGGGTTGACTCTACAGCCAGCTGTCTGTCACTTTCAGCAAGATTGGGCCAACTCTCATTCCAAAGGGCTATGGGCATGATTTCCCTTAGAGGAAACTGCCCCGACTTTACAGCAGCAATCAGGGGGTCCTATTGCCATTTCAGGTCAAACAGTAAGGCAAGAAAAAGAAAAGTCATGGCCAAGGGCGGGGACTGGCATTCCCCTTTGCTACAGTGGTCAGGTTCCCTGGGTGGGCTTGATACTTACGTAGGGGGTAGCAATGCATGGGATGGAAGGTGAAAAATCTGCTGGCAGAGGAAGGTTGATTGAAATAAAAAAAAATCCTTCTGCTTGTCATAACAGAAAACAAAAGCAGTGTTCTACTGCAGTGCCAAGACTGTTCTTTCCCTGTCCTCATTAAGGAAGAGTGAATTGAGAGAGCAGCAATGCCTTGTCAGCTCAAACTCTTTCTAGAGCAGCTGGGTGGTTAGAGCGGTGCCTCAGGACTTCAGGAAAGGAAGGCAGGAAGCAGAAAAATCAAAACGCTATCGACGTTTTCTGAAGTCGACAATGTTCAATGTGTTGCTTGCGCTCATCTGACTTTTTATGAATCCCAAATTAACCAAGGCCACATATGCTCCAGGAGCCCTTGAGAAAGTGCTGGAAACACAAAACACACTTTTGTCTCTCCCTTGGCTCTTGCCACATAGGTAGAGGCTTTTGCCTGGAGTTGGCTGTTGTCAGGCCTAGATTGACTGCAGCTTACAGAAAGGCAAACTTCAGGAAGGGGGAACAATTACCAAGCTGAGTCTAAAAAAAAAAAAAAAAAAAAAAAAAAAAATCCCCAAAGCTTCTGAAGAGGATTGAAAAGACCATTTTGTAATGAGAAGCAGCTCAGGCGTCGTGTTATGATACAGGCCTGGTGTCACATCCTCTACTTGGTTCAACCCTACAACGGACTGGTAAGAATGCCAAGCAGACATCTCAATTAGACAACTATGGCTTTCAGTAAATTTGCACTGAAGATGATAGCTATCACATAAGTAGCATGAAAAGCCTGTTTTATATTGGAAAGTCGTCTTTGCCTAGTAGGATTTCAAATGTTTCCCGAATTGAATATGAGGAAATATACTTGGCTCTATAGTTCCCTGATTATTGACTATAGGACAGGGCCTTTGAGATGTGGTGTTCCAGAGAACTCTAGACTCACTTTCTGATTTTCAATAGAGTGGCTGCCCCTTCCCGCATTTCCCAGATTCACACAGAGCTGGACTACCTCCGTGAGAAATGACTCTCCGGTAGGGCTCGATAACCTTCATGTCAATGCGCTGCTCCTGTTCTCCAATCACCACCGTCCTCCACAGCCGGTTGTCCTCCCTTTCCTCCTCAGCCGTATATTCTGGAATAGACTCTGACTCTTGGCCAGAATCTCTGTTGGCTGTGGGATCTTCTGGAAACAAAGCACAGAGCAGGGCTGAAGGAGCAAGTCCTCCACAGTGCAGGCAGCTAAACAGCAAATTGTAAGTTACATCCTGCAGAATCAACCTGATGGAAGTCCTTGTTTTTTACAGCTTTTACAGAACTTAGCACTATCCTCACCACGCAAAGTATACTCAGTGGTCTTTTTTATTAACTGAACAACCAGATCGATCGCTCAGGCCATGCTGAGACTGATACTAGGTGCAAAGCTTGAGCTGTCTTGCATGGGTGGTGGTCCAGGGTGAGCGTGAGCCAGGACCAACTCATCCTTGACCGGGGTAAAGATTGCAGGTCTTTCTAATGGCGTGAAAGATTGTGTATTAGGCTGAGAAAATCTTGGGGTTTGGAGGCCACACCTCTTCAGTGTTCAGAATCTTTTGGGGCCCTCAACTTGGAATTGTGATGATACTACCAGCCAAGACTCCTATTCTAAGACTCTTACAACTGGGATAAGCCTCCTGTTGGGAGCACACCTGGACACAAATCTGGTATTTCTATTTACTGTTTCAAAATATGCCACACAAAGATTCTACAGTAAGTGAGAAAATACTTTGTAGACCAGAAATGCTTCAAGACCCGAAATGCACAAGACTCCTAAACTGATGGGTATATAAGACAATAAAAAAGCCTACTGAGCATTCTCTGGGAAGAAATTTACTCTTGTGCATTCAAAAAAAGATAACCATTTTTTAAAAAAAGAATAAGCAGCAATTCTTTCCATGTTTACTAGAAGTATTAGTAGAGAATAATGATGGGTTTTTTTGTATGTTTAAGTAACTTACAAGAAAAGATTATTTATAACCTTTGCAATAATCCCAAGATATTATCATTCTTATTTTTCCATTCCTGGAAAAGCACCATTGAATTTACATTGCATTTCACTTCTTTCTATGGCACTTTGATGATAATAGCACTATTGTATTAAGCATTGACTTTGTACCAGGTACTAGGTCATTACACCAACGCAAAAACTGATTCTGACGTAGTTTGCCTCAGATCACAGTTACTAAGTAAATACAGTCAAAACCTTTAACTTTTTCAGCCCTTCTAACCTATCACATTGTACCTTAAGTGTGTGACTCTCCTTATGTATTTTACAAAGTGGCTGTGAGTCCCTTGGGCTAAGAAACTGTGCCTTGAATCCCTTTAATATTCACTTCCACCAACCCGCTCCCTACTTAGCTTGCAAACTTACTCAGAACACTCAAAAACAATTGGGAAGGTGAGTGAGTAAATCAAGGAAAACTTGGATAATTTCCTGGAAACAGAGGTAATCTATAAGGGAGCCACAACACCACCATTATCTTCTGGAAGAATCTGCAATTATACATTCAGAAGTGTCTAATTACCAGTGACTGAGATAGTGCAATTATACATTCAGAAGTGTCTAATTACCAATGACTGAGATAGCAAAATGAAGTTTGGTTGGGAAGCAATCCCAGCCTTTTTTGCCAACACCAACAGCTACCACCACCTACAGAGCCTTGGCTCACTCAGGCTTCCACTGTGTTCCCACCAGCATGTGGCAGCTTATCAAGGACAGACCACAAACCACTGGCTTCAGACCAAGCACTGTGTCCTTTGTGCAAATCCACCCATCTGTCTGGAAGCCCTTCCTCCTTCTTCCTACGTGAGTTAGGACCCTAGGATGCCAATCTTAGCTCCCTTCCTGGGACTCAGTTTCCCCTCTGGTCTCTACTCCCTCAGAAGTCTGTATTCTGAAGCAGGTTTGTCTTCTGATGCTCTTTTACGCACCCTCCTTTCCCTCCAGGGAACTTTCCATCCACCAGACCCTCTTCATCCTGTTTGGTACCCTCTGGCCTGCTCTAGCTCTACCCTGGTCATTTCTGTGGGATGAAGATAGGGTTGTTTTATTTTCTGCAAATTTTATTAAAATTCCCTCATGTAAAAAATTTTTGGTTGGGCATAGTGGCTCAAGCCTGTAATCCCAGCACTTTCAGAGGTCAAGGCAGGTAGACTGCTTGAGCTCAGGGGTTAGAGACCAGCCTGGGCAACATGGCAAAACCCAGTCTTTACAAAAAAATACAAAAATTAGCTGGGTATATTGGCATGTGCCTGCAGTCCTAGCTACTTGGGAGGCTAAGGTGGGAGAATCATGTGAGAACAGGAGGTTGAGGCTGCAGTGAGCTGTGATGGCACCACTGCACTCCAGTCTGGGTGACAGAGTGAGACCTTGTCTCAAAAAAAAAAAAAATTGTATACTACATTCTTTATTATGGTTATAGTAAAACACATATCACATAAATATAGTCAGCTGATCTTTGACAAGGAGCAAAGGCAATCCAGAGAAGCAAAAATAGTCTTTTCAACAAATAGTGCTGGAATAACTGGGTATCCACCTGCAAAATAATGAATCTGGACTCAGGCCTTTGATCCTTCACAAAAGTTAACTCAAAATGGATCACAGACCTAAATGTAAAATGCAAAACTATAAAACTTTTAGAAGAGAAAATGTAATTGGCCCTAGGTGCAAAGATGACTTTTTAGATACAATACAAAAGGCATGATCCATGAAAGAAATAATTGATAAGGTAGACTTCATTAAAATTAAAACTTCTACATGAAAGACAAAGAGAATGAGAAGAAGACAAACGACTTGGAGAAAATATTTACAAAACACATATCTGATGAGGACTGTTATCCAAAATATACAAAGAATGCTTAATACTCAACTATAAGAAAATGGGCAAAAGACCTGGACAGGTACCTCACAAAGAAGATATACAGGTGACACGTAAGATGTGAAAAGATGTTCCGTATCTTGTGTCATTACAGAATTTTGAATTAAAACAATAGCAAGATACCACTACATACCTAAATGGCCCAAATACAGAACACTGACACCAAATGCTGGTGAGAACTCAAAGCAACAGGAACTCGCTTTCATTGCCGGTGGGAATGCAAAATGGTCCAGCCATTTGGAAGAGTGCGGCAGTTTCTTACAAAATTAAGCATACTCTTACCTTACAATCTAGCAGTCATACTCCTTGGTAATTACCCAAATGCACTGAAAATGTATGTTTATAGCAGCTTTATTCATAATTGCCAAAACTTGGAAGCAACAAAGATGTCCTTCAGTAGGTGAATAAACTGTGATTTGTCTAGCCAGTGGAATATTATTTAGCATTAAAAAGGAATGATCTGTCAAGCCATGAAAGGATATGGAAGAACTTTAATTGCGTAAGTGAAGAAAACCAGCCTGAAAAAGCTACCTATTGTATGAGTCCAACTTCATGGATTCTGGAATAGGCAAAACTATGGAGACAGTAAAAGCATCAGTGATTGCCAAGGGTTGGAGAAAAGGAAGAAATAGGCAGAGCACAGAGGATTAAGGCAGAAAAACTATTATATACGATACTACAATGGTGGATACATGCTGCCTCTGTACAGTTGCTCAAAGCCATAAAATGCACAACACAACTGAACCCTTCATGTAAATTACGGACCTTGGGTGATAATGATGTATCAATGCAGGCTCATCAATTGTAACAAACCAACCACTTTGGGAATGTAGATAGTGAAGGAGGGTGTACGTGTGTAGAGAAACCGGGTACAGGAAAACTCTGTACTTTCCACTCAAATATGCTATGAACCTGAAGTTGCACTAAAGAATAATTTCATTTTTAAAAAGTAAACCACATTAATGAAAGTGCCAGCAATACAGAAATTCTTCATGAAAACAACAAAAATCACCAATGCCACTAATCTATTACTACGTGATGTGTATCACTCTTTCTCTGCACATACACAGACATGTTTATTTTTCAGAAAGTATGATTATTCTATATATTCTGCATGTTCTATACAGATTGTTCTATTAAAATAGTATAGGCTTGAGACCAGCCTGGGAAACATGACAAAACCTCCTCTCTACAAAAAAACTACACCAATTAGCCGGGTGTGGTGGCACACGCCTGTAGTCCCAGCTACTCAGGAGGCTATGGTAGGAGTGTCACCTGAGCCTGGGAGATCAAGGTTACAGTGGGCTGAGATGCCACTGCACTCCAGCCTAGCTGACAGAGTGAGGGCCTGTCTTTATACATACATACATACATATATATACACACACACACATTTTTATATACACACACATATATTTTAATACATATTTACATATTTTAATATATATGTATGTATTATATAAAATGAATATATATACATATATGTATATATGTATGTAACATTACATTATATATACATATGTATATAAGTGTGTATATATAATATATAATATACTATATATATTCTCTCTATATGGAGTATAGACTTCTTGTCTCAATAAATATAAATCCTGCTCATTTTTAAAAGTAGCCCTCAAGTATTCCATTTTGCTGATGTCTTTTAGTTTACCAATCCCATGGTGATGAAATATAGTTTTCTTTCTTTTTCTTGTTCTTTATAAAGAATTTGCTTCAGTAAGCATCTGCACGAAGGTATCTTACCTTATTTGTACACATATTTCTATAGGGGAACTTTCTAGCAACAGAGTGCTGGGTCAGCAGGTATAACCACTTAAAGTTTTTGGGACGTTTTTGCCCTTCAATATGCTACACCAAAATATAGGAGAGGGCTGGATTTCCCCCTATTGTCAAGAACATGATAGGCTATCAAAGTTTTCAACCCTTGACAATTTCAGAGGAAATGATCTTATTGTTTTAATTTGAATTTCTGTAATTATTAAAGAAGGTAAGCACTTTTCACTGTTTGTTGGCTATTTACATCTCGCTTACTGACAAGAAGCTACCTTTAAAGCCCTTTTCCTATTGTGGTCCTTATTAATTAGTTGCAGTTTTTGTATGGAACTTCGTTATGTGTCGTAATTTTTTTTTGTTTTTTGGTCTTGTGCTTACTCCGTGATTAGCTTTTAAACATATACCTATCTTTTCCTGCCAAATAGAAATTCAATATTTTTATGTAGTTGAATCTCTTAACTTTTTCTTTACTTTCTTT